TCCGACTGGGTAGAGAGGGTTAAATGGTTAGAGGCTGCTGCTAGCTGCTGGTTACTGACTGCTGGTTATATGTTATTTGTTACTCATTGATGGTTGAGGGTTACTGGATATTGGTTATTTATTGTTAGATACTGGTTATTATTTGGTGGCTGCTCACTACTAGTTATATAGGACTGGTTACTGGTTATTTGTTAGTTGTTGCTGGATACTGGTTACTAGTTGCTGGTTATTGGCTTATTATATTGTCACTTTTCAGTGATGGGTACAAACACGGAGATAATGTCATGACGTTTACAATAACTATTTTACTTTATACTTCACTACATATATTACACAGCTCCAGTTACTTTACATGTAATTAATCCAGTAACAAATATTGATATATATATATATACCTGTATATTTGCTTGTACCAGAATATTTGCTGTAGTAGTACTACTGCTCCTCATGCTGCAGTACCAGTAAAGACCAGAGTACAGCAGACTGATCAGTGTGAAAGAAGAATGTCAAAAGCACCAAACTCCTGCAGAAGAACACAAAATACCTTCTGATGCTCCAAATCACCAAAATTGGAGTTGTGAGGTTTTCACGTGACGCCAGTGACATCACCCCCCCCCCCCCCCCCCCCCCCCTCCTCCCACAGTGCACCACTACTATCCTCCACTGAATGGACAAAAAGCACTCTGGGAAAACTTCCTAATTAGGGCATGAAGCTGATTCCTGACTGCGTCTGGTATTTTCTCTCCATCTCTCTCTCAGGGCCTCGCTTTCCCTGCACGCCTGTCTGTCCGTCTCCCATCCGTCTCCCATCCGTCTGTCTCTTATTTCTGTTTGTCCATCACAGTGACACAGTGAAGGTATTTAGTCATTCAATTTGGGATTCAAATATTTATCAGCAGGAGTCATACAGGAGGAAATATCTACACATATCTATGTACTTATACGTATATACATGGTTATATATACATATTTAAGTATATATGTGTGTGTGTGGTGTGTATAGATATATAGGTATATGTACATGTGTACATGTGTAAGTATAGATATATTTATTTATACCTATATACGTATACATACATCCCAGTATCTAAAGAAAATGAATCCCAGGAGTCAAACCAACAACATGTTGGTCCGTCCCTCAACACTGTCTTACTTCCTGTCTCACTTTCTCCCTCAGGAATTTAATACTCAAATACAGAAACACGCTGTACCGAGTTTAAATGATTTAGAGATCAATAAATCGGTAACTAAACAATGACATCTTCAACTCAACATCCGCTTAAAGTGACGATGGAGATAATGAAGACCACAACATGTGTCTGAAAGGTATTTTCCAATTAAAGTTAGACTTCAAAATGAAATATTGAAATCTTTATTTAGGATAAATTCAATATTGAATAAGTTCAATTTGTACTACAAAGTATTTGTGTCCTGAGGAAATGGAGCTGTAGAAATGAGGTTGGTTCCTCTCAGCGTCTGCCAGTCAGATCTCAGGGCAGATAATCCACAGGAGGCCGTGAGAGCCTCAACTCTGCACCAAGGGACTAAAATCAAACGCACCTCAACACCCTCCAACCAGACCTCACTCAAATAATCCAAACCTTCCACACTCAGCGAGCGGATCTTAGAACGTCGACTAACATGCCAAGTATAACATCCATTTAGTGCAGCTACTATGAAATACAATGAAATAGGACCAATATGAAATATAGAACAAAGAATAAACGTTGTAGCAAACAGTACCTATAGGTAATGATATATATATATATATATATATATCAGTAGTACTGTGATCCTATGGTAGTACATCAGTGGTACTGTGATCCTGTGGTAGTATCTGTAGTTCTACAGCTCCCCCTACAGGATAGAAGGAGGAGGACGTTTCAGCTCACGTCTCCCATCATAAACACGTAGTACCTGCATAGCGCTGTGGGGGGGCTGACTGACCTCTGACCCGCCTTTGATGACCTCACCCCGTAATAGACTTCAAGGTCCACCACGTCTGCACACACACACACAGTTTGGAGGTAATCAATCATTGAGCTGTCCCTCCTGTCAATCAAAGCGACACAGTACAACCGCCCGCCGCTATCAGCTGACCAAAACGTTGCCTCTGATAAAATGATGTTTTAATATTTCCACTTACTAACACTTATTTGGATTATAAAAGATATGAATAATTATAACTAAACTGACTGAGTTTATATAATATATATACATACGTGTCCCTCCGTGTCTGTCTGTCTGTCTCTACTCAGTTCTGAGGGTCCAAACAGTCTCTGTGTGGTTTGATCCGTCATCACTCTGCTTCCTGCTGCTGGTCACATGCTGTCACTGTAGCACACAACGATAAACACTTTTATCTTTATATAAATACAAAATATGCAGCTGTTATTAATCAGAATGTGATTGAATAGTCCCTTTAAGGCTCAGACAACCAAAATATATTCAAAAATCCGGAGTATCACAGCATCCTCGTACGTGGCTGAGTTAGTCAGATAATTGTCAGGATAAGATCACATAGATCAGGCTCAGTTCCACAAAGCGAGTTTGGCAAAATCACCATAGCAACACATCCAAGAACCTCAGCCTGCAGGCAGCTATGAACTCGCAACCTGCACAACAAAACGGCAGCTTTCTTCCACGGAGACCCGTTGATGAGCAATACTAGAACAACGTGTTACAGGGAGAGAGTTCTTCCAAGATCCGATATCACCTACAGGCCGTCTCACAGGCCGTCCCACAGGCCGTCTCACAGACCGTCCCACAGGCCGTCTCACAGACCGTCCCAGAGGCCGTCCCACAGGCCGTCTCACAGGCCGTCTCACAGGCCGTCCCACAGGCCGTCTCACAGGCCGTCTCACAGGCCGTCTCACAGGCCGTCTCACAGGCCGTCTCACAGGCCGTCTCACAGGCCGTCCCACAGGCCGTCCCACAGGCCGTCCCACAGGCCGTCTCACAGGCCGTCCCACAGGCCGTCCCACAGGCCGTCTCACAGGCCGTCCCACAGGCCGTCCCAGAGGCCGTCCCACAGGCCGTCTCACAGGCCGTCCCACAGACCGCCCCACAGGCCGTCTCACAGGCCGTCCCACAGACCGTCCCACAGACCGTCCCACAGGCCGTCTCACAGGCCGTCTCACAGACCGTCCCACAGGCCGTCCCACAGACCGTCCCACAGACCGTCTCACAGGCCGTCCCACAGACCGTCTCACAGGCCGTCTCACAGGCCATCTCACAGACCGTCCCACAGGCCGTCTCACAGACCGTCCCACAGACCGTCCCACAGGCCGTCCCACAGACCGTCTCACAGACCGTCCCACAGGCCGTCCCACAGACCGTCCCACAGGCCGTCTCACAGGCCGTCTCACAGACCGTCCCACAGGCCGTAGGACATAGTGTCTCACAGGCCGTAGGACAGACTCACAGACTGACATACAGAGCGTCTCACAACAGGAAAGCCGTTTTCGTAAAGTTTATTTGACGCTTAAGAAGCTTGTTTGACCGCTTCAACTGATTGAATTTCTGAATATAAATAATACAAATATATTGATCTGCCTGTACACAGATTTGCACACAGATTATTTGTTCATATTCCTATACATGTTTGTTATATGATAATTAACTGTACTGGCGGTTGACTGACTGTAGGTGTATGAAGGTCAGAGTGAACGGTTGCTGTTTTCGTTGATGATGATGATGGAGTCCAGTCAAATAGACCCCCCCCCCCCCCCCATGCTATCTGATTTACTCTCTAAGGATGAGCAGTGTAGAACAAGACAAGTATTCAAGATCTCCACATGTTGTGAGAGTAGATTTCAGTGTCAAGTTAGTGTCAAGAAGACGGACGCAAGAGTTCCAGGTATAGGAGACCACAAAAATAATCATTTATACTTTTTAAAAGTGAAATTCTTTGTGGCAATCATGGCAATAAATGTTTCCTGGTTCGTGAAATTGGTTTAACTTGGCACTAAATTGGCACTTGTTTTATTGTAAAGTTCATACTATGAAACGGGTCATGAATACGTATTTACGTATGCTAAGAACAAAGTCGAAACCGGAGTCAAATTCCACATTTCAAATTGTGATTTGGTTAAGATTAACCTAAATGTATCAAGAAATACTACTTTAATCCCTTATAACTGTCTCATGGTTCTCTATAGATACCTGTCAACACCCATATACCCATTCAACCTAATAAACCATTACTGAAAGTCAATTATCTTTAGGTATAATAAACTTTTCTCAACATAAAAGTGTGAAAGGTTTTTCTATTTGAACTATTAGTGAATGAAGTGAATGAATTAGCGTTTATAATAATTAACACTGAGCGGTCTTCAGCTGTCAAATTAAAACAATCCTCCCGAAATAATATTTAACCGAGAAAACCCGGAAAGACGGGGCTTTTATTGTGAAGCGCACTGCTCTCTTTTTCCCAGTGTTGATGTAGCTGCTGTCAACTTGACGTTTCCGCTCTGAAGGTCGCTCAAAAAATGACCAGAGTTAACAGCTTGCAAATAGTTATCCGTTAACGTTTGAACTCGTCGGTTTTTCACGGTGAGCGGGAACTGGCAACTTCCGGTCACGGTTTGAACAAAGACACTCGTCTCCGGATCATCGGGTGATGCTAACGTGCTAACCATCCAGGGGTGCCGAAGGTTAGCTTCTAGGCTAACCGAGCAGAGGTCTTCCCTGTTATCAGTTAGCTCCGTTAGCCGCTAGCTGTTAGCATGCAGTGTGTTAACGTTCTGAAAAAGAGAAGTCTGGAAGCGGAAGTGGAGCCGTGGAGCTGCAGACCGGTGAGTGATGATGACGAAGATGATGAAGGCTCATTAGCTGGTTGTTTTAATTCATCTTTTTGATAACGGCGGTGGTGGTTAATACATACGCAATAAGAAATGTCAATAAGTGTTTATCAGTGATTAATAATCAATAAATATAACTAACCTAATAACCTTCACATTTTTTTCAAGGACCAATGTGATGTTAAATTCCAATTGTGTGAATAAATTGATAAACAATAGAAGTACACGGATCAGTACAAATTCAGAAAATGTCTCTTTGTGCGCTCACTTCCTGTTTAACAGAACCTGCTAAATTAAACTGATGTGTATAAAGTACTACATCCACCTCCGAGGTGTAAGAAGTAAAAAGTAAAGTTGGACATCAGGTAACTTGATGTTTTTCTTACAGAAGCGAGTGTGTTTTGGGGCGGAGCTCCAGGTGACCGAGTGTCCAATGGAAACGTCCCACACCTTTACAGTATCCAATCAGCAGCAAGAACAGCAGGTAAGTTCGGGTTGTCACGACAGCAGACAGCAATAACTCACTTGACCAAAATACACAGCCGGTGATTTTGTGTGTGTGTTGATGGTGATGATGCAGGTCCGTGTGGGTCGGTCCAGATCTCCTCTGCTCTGCTGCTCCAGGTGTCTCGGAGGAGAACCAGTAAGTTCTGATAATATTTTTGTTCATATTGATTAATTTGCAGTGAGACGGTTCTATAAAGAGAGACTGCTCTGCAGTGAGACATGTCTCATGCTAAGGAGCTCTTGTCTGTACAGGGACACATTATTACAGATGTATTTGTTATACGTGTGTCCAATGTTTCAGGGGCACATCAACCACATCATGGGCCACTGAGCAGGGGGGGCTCGTCTTCACTCAGCCGTCCAACGGGACTTTACTCCTGCCTGATGATGTCATTGTGAGCCCACCCACTGAAAGGACCAATCAGGAGCTCCTTTCTAACATTCCTCTTTGTCCGGAGCTTTCAGCCTCCAAAGAGCAACCAATCCAACAGCCAGTCCCATACTTTTATTCTGAAAAAAAACTATTTCTGGTTAGCTTGTTAGCGTAGCTCGTGAGTTCTGACACAACTCATCTGGAGCGAAGCACATCGTGAGCAGCTGGTTGTCCTCCAATATGAGACCTCCTCATGTTCAGTAGGGGTGGGAATCTCTTGGCACCTCAGGATTCCATTCCATTCCGATTCAGAGGTCAACGATTCGATTCTAAACCGATAAAACGATTATCGATGCATCTCGATTTTCTCAAATCTGAGTTTGCTACTCAGAGGTTGCTAATCACTTCCTACTTTATTTGATAATTAAAGAAAATCAACAGATGAATTACCTTCTCAAATTTTTTATAAGAGAAAAAAAAATCTTTGTCACAAATATGATTTTCTATCAACATGCAAGAACCAATGCAGCTTGCATTTCAACACAATATGAAGTAGCCGATGTAAAAAAAATCTTAAACAGATTCATTTTTATTTTAAATGAAGAAAAAGCTGCTCTTAGTCTCAGACCGGTCCGTATTTGTAAAATACCGGGAAAAAGTCAAAATATGTGAATATCTTGCCAACTTTCAATACGGATCGACTTTTTGGAAAATGTAAATAATGAGGTAAGATGTGCGCAGGCTCCTCCATAGTTCAGTAAGTTATTCGCTATTCAGACTGACGGACCGGTCTGCGAGCTGGACGCATCGGTCTTAATGTGCCGGTAATGATGGTAAATGATGCTTGTAGCCGGTTGTCATCTACGCTCCACTACGGTTACATAAAGGTGGCGTTTGTGTTTTCACAACGTTTTATCTCATAATTTCCACTTTCTATCCCCTTTCTTCAGTGCGGAAATGCGCTTCTATAGTTGTGTGAATGCATCACTCCAGCCAATCCTAAGACGGGGTTTGTAACCAATCAGGTAGAGACCGTGGTGACTGGCTCCGCCCCCTCACTGTCAGAAAGAACAGCGAGCGCGTAGAAAACGCCTTCGAGCGCGAGCAGAGAGGAAGTTCACGCTCCGCGAGCAAAGACGCGAGACGGACTTTTTTTTTTTTAATTCCGATTAACTTTTCTGAATCGAGACCGAATCGTTCTAGAATCGAGATAAATCAAAAAATCGATTTGTTCATGTTCAGTAGAATTCTGAATCATTTCAAAATCCAAAGCGTCCACGGAGATTGTTTGCTAATGTAGATTTTTGTTAATGTAGCAGCAGAGGACGAAGTCAGAGACCAGAAGCCTGAAGAGTTTGTTGAACTTTAATTAGCTTGTTTAAGGTGACTTTACTAAATCCTAACTGAAGTTTAGCATGAACTCTTTTTAAAGGTTTTAAAGGCATTTTTAAAAGGGAAATGAATAATGTTAGATTGTTCTTTAAAATGAGTCTTCCACTTTGTAGATTTATATTTTTGTGAGCTTTTTGTATCCTGCTGCAGTTTTTTATTACTGTGAATGTGACTGATTTAATGTTCCTGTAGAACAATCTTTAATGACAATTTGGTCAATGACAAACAAAAAATGGTGTGCACAATTTGCACTGCAGACTGATTTAAAAAATAAACCTTTCACTCAAACTTCTGATGTCCGTTTCCTTTTGACTGATGAAACGGACGAGGAGTTTAAATGAGGCAGCAGCTAATGAAGCCAAGGGTTTACTTGGGGGGGCAAAGTTACGGTTCCAAGCTGCCACCATCTAACTGCTGAGAGCCGAGGCGTCAAGAGGCTCACGTGCACGGACACGTTGGTCACACCGATGACGTTCTGCATCGTGGGCAATGATCCGCCTGGAAAAATTGTATATTTAGAATCATTTAAGACGATCAAACACAAAGCTGGTTATTGCCACAAGTTTATTACATCATAACTTAATGGGAAAAAGATGTCAAAAAACTGACAGCTTTACAGATGAAAAGTCAAATAATATGAAAACGTTTGCAGATCAACAGAATCTTATATCCTCAATGACATTTTATTAACTTTCTATGTTCCACATTTCAATACAAATATCTAATGTTTTGTAATCATTTAAGTTATTATCCCCAAGTAAAAAAGTAAAGTTCAAACATTAACACCAGAATAATAATAAGTACATTTCATGAAAATATTCGGTTCTTTGTTTGTATAAACATTTAAAAGATGACATGGCTTCATTTTACAGACATTATTTCATGACGTCTTATGCCTGTCCCTGGAAAGATTAGTCAAGTATTTATTAGATATTAGTAGAACTAGAAATAATAAGTCACCAATATTTACTGTCCATCAGGAGCTTTTCTTACCAGGAAATTCCCATTTACCCTGAAATAACTTCAAAAAGTAAATGTATAATCTAACTGATATTTAATGTCTGTCCATCTTTTTCCTCAAATATGTAAAGGATATACAGAATTATATTTATCAGAATAATTCATGGGTTTTTTTCTGATTAAACCTACATTATAAGGTTCTTTCCAGGAACCCCCCCGTTAAATTAATAGAAAGTAAGAGACCTGCCGGGGTTTTGAAAATAAAAGATCTCTGCTGAAGCTCATGGACCATGAAACAAGTCTTCATTACTTTCTGGTTTCTTTTAAAAGATTCACACACCAGCCTTTGTTTCATGTTTTTATTCCTATCTGTGAAGGTTGGACAATAGAAGCAAGTGGCACATATTTAAGGGGGGTTGGGGGGGTCAGAACATGAACAGGTCTGGAATCAGACTGACGACTGCAGAGAGTGTGTGTGTGTGTGTTCAGTCCAGGGCGGCGTGCAGCAGAGCGCTGTGACCACCCGCCATCTTTGATTTCTTCATCTTACCGATCGCCTTCTCGAGGTCGGACTGATGGATGGGACGGATGAAGTCCTCCGATGGACTGAGAGAGAGACAGACATGTAGTGAGTGGAATGAAACGTGAGCTTTCGTTGCGTTTTGACGTTTATCAGAATACCTGTCGCTCTGCGTGTGGACAAAGTCTCGGACGCAGAGCAGAGCAGCGTCCCGACACATCTCTCGGAGGTCACTTCCTGAGAAACCGTCCGTCTCCTTGGCGACATCAAGGAGGTTAACAGACAGGTCGACCTGCAGACACACAGACAGGTGATCAGAACCAATGAGGCTGGGAGGCGGGGCTTAAGACTGTGTGTCATATAGGGTGAACTTACGCTCTCGTCCTCCAGGATGAGTTTGAGGATCTGCTCTCTCTGCCTCATACTCTAGAAACAAGTATTATTACTGTCCAAACTAAATAATGATCATGAAACAATAAATGGCTGACCACGGACACATGAGTACTCACAGGCTGGTTGATGTGGAACCTGGTGGGCATCCTCCTCAGAATAGCGGAGTCCAAATCTTGAGGACGATTGGTGGCTCCCATGATGATCACCTGACATATGCACATGGTGATGTCATCATTACTGTGGTTTCTTCACGTCATTGTCCCTGATGACCACCCTCAAGAGGGTCACCACATTCCCCAACCAGAAGCCGTGGATGAACAGAGGTTCGCCTACTGCTTCCAGATGAGGTGATGCTCATGGGCATCAAGAAGGCCAAGCACAGCCACAAGCGGAGGATGGAGGAGCATCGAAGAGCAGCTCCGACCCCCGACGCATGTGGCATCCAGGCCATCAATGACTACAAGCCAACCAACTCTACCCCCCAAAGCAGTGAGACCTCCTTCCCTGACGAGCTGAACAGCTTAGGACAATCAGGAGGTGGCCATCAAGGCTGTGCTCACGACAGACCACCAGCCTCTCACAACCCCCCCCCCCCACTGACGTGTGTGCTGCACTGAGCCGGATCAACGCACACACAAAGACTGCTGGCCCTGACGGCATCGCCAGGCGCGTGCTCGGGGGCGGAGTTGTGCAGCTGACTGACAGACGTCTTTAACCTGTCGCTGGCGCAGGCAGCCGCCCAACCTGCTTTAAAACCACCTTCATCGTGCCGGTGCCGAAACACTCCAAAGCAACGAGCCTCAATGACTTGCACTCACCCCCACCATCATGAAGTGCTTCGAGAGGCTGGTCCTGGTTCATCTCAAATCCTGTTTGCCACCCACACTGGACCCCCTACAGTTCGTCTACCACAAGGAGCACGGAGGAAGCCATCTCCACGCCACTCTCTTTCTCAGCTGGATGATAACAACACATATGTGAGAATGCTGTTCATAGACACCATCATCCGCTCCAAACTCAGGGATCTGGATACTGGACTTTCTAACCAATGGACCCCAATCTGTCAGGTTAGAGAACCACACCTCCTCAACACCGGTGTCCCACAGGGCTGCGTGCTGAGCGGTGATTGGCCTCATCAGCAACAACGATGAGTCGGCCAACAGGAAAGAGGTCCAGCACTTGGCCGAGTGGCACTCAACGCCAAGAAGACCAATGAGCGCATTGTGGACTTCAGGAAAACCAAAGGACCAAAAACATCAGGACCACATTGTGTGTAAAAAAGGATGAGATCCGCAGCCCCCCCGAACAGTAGACCCCTCTCCCCCTGACTACGCCTCGATATCCTGTCATCGAAAACCACAAACAGGATTGGTGACCAGGCGCAGCCGTGGCAAAGGCCGACCCCCACTGGAAACGTCTCAGACTTCCTGCCGAGCACCTGAACAGAGCTCGAGCTTTAGATGGGCCCAAGTAGGGACGAAACCCTTAATGTTCCTCTTTAGTCCGTGGTTCAACTATGGGCCAAACAAACCCTCCTTTCCACGACCTCAGCAGACAGTGTGATACCCCTGTAATTGGCACACTCTCTAGTCCCCCTTTTTAAAAGAGAGGTACCACCACCCCCGTCTGCTATACACACACATGTTCATACAAATATATGACTTTACTCTGGTTCTTCATTATACATACGATTGGTTTTATTTGAAAAGACAACGGGGAAATGCAGGGTTATTGTCTGGTGTGATACTAAAAAGAATTTGTCATAGACAAAGACCAGACACCGTGGTGACATCAAGTCAGCTGCTGTCAAATCTGTTCTCTGCGTTCTAGGTTCTCTGATGCTGCGATTGGTCTCCCTCACCCCATCAGTACCTGACAGTGGTGGTCCGTGTCCAGTCCGTCCCACAGACTCATGAACTGGGCCTTCATCATGGCCGTCGCTTCGTGGTCCGAGCTGGATCGGCTCCTGAGGAACGAGTCTGTTACAGACATGAAGTCAGTATTAATGCTCCGATACCGCTAGTTAGCTTAGCATAAAGACTTGAAGCAGGTGGTAACAGCTAGCCTCACTCTGTACAAAAGACGGCTAAATGTCCAGAGATATTTTTAAAAGGGTACTCATCAGTTTCAGACATTGACCCCGGCCACCACCCGCCCCCCATTGATTGACAGGTGCGTGTCACCTATCTCGTCGACAAAGATGATGGACGGCTGCAGTTTGACAGCCAATGAGAAGACAGCAGCCGCTAGCTTCTGGGACTCCCCATACCACTTGTCAGTCAGCGTGCTGGGCTGCAGGTTAATGAAGCGAAACCCCGCCTCCTTGGCCGTCGCCTTGGCGATGAGCGTCTTCCCACAACCAGGTGGTCCGTACAGCAACACACCTGTTACCATGTCGACACAAGTAAAGGAGTCAGTTCTTCATTAACGAAATCTGCAGCCAGATGTTTTTCACTAAACTGATCTGGATTAACTTCTGACCTTTAGGAGGCTGCAGAAGTCTGGATCCCTGAAACAGGTGTCTCTTCTGAACAGGTAAGATGACGGTCTCCTTTAGCTCTGTGATGACCTCATCCAGACCGGCGATGTCTCTCCATGTGATCTGCACACACATTTAATATTCATAGAACAACAAAACATGTATTAGTGCTCGGGCAAAGGTTGGAGGCAAATGAAGACGCTGTAGAAAGCTTAATGCCGATGGCCAGGACTCGACACATCAAAGACGCGGTCTCACTCCCATCTCAGAAATGTTTACCCCCCACCCCAAAAACACTCTTCAGATCTACTAGTCACGTGGATACACTCAATTTGATTTCAAAACGGAAAATTGAGCCGAATAGCGGCCAGTTTGCATGTTCGCTTTTGCATGTTCGCTTTAGCATCGGTAGTACTTTCAGTATGTGTGTATTGTACCTGTGTAGTACTTTTACCTGCATGGTCAGAGGGTCGACCAGGTGAGCGGCGATGCTCATCTCGTACTCCGAAAGCTTTACGTTCTTTACTCCGATCTGACGCATCAACTTCTCAGCCTGACGGAGAAAAGAGATGACAAGACAGTTTCATATATGCGAGAGAGAAAGAACTCCCCTGCACCTGTCCTTTAAGCCCCGCCCCCTGCTCGTCTCACCTGCTTCTGAGCCTCCACCTTCTGCTTCCTGGTGGGGTCAATAGCGTCCACCATCCACTTGATGGTGAAATAGGTGACAGCTCCGAATATGGTGAGTCTGAAGAGCAGGCCGATGACCTCGTTCCTGCCCAGAGGGCGGGCAATGTTCTCCACGGGGACCTCCCTCAACACCATCGTCAGGTGTCAGAGGTCACAGGAAGTTCAAGCAGGGCTGCAGAGGGAGGACAGCAACAAGTTCTTATGAAGTCATTTAATTAATTATATAAATCAATTACCGAATACCAATTTGTGTCTTTGAGAATCAAAGCTTGAAAAAAATAACCCTTTATAATAATAATATTTTATGGTAATTAATAATAAAGTTATCTCAGTGAAACACTACTTGAGTTTTACTTCTCTCTCCATCTTCTGATTATCCAAGAACATGATGACGTCTGAGTCAGCAGTGACGACACAGCTCTCTGACAACTTGAACAGAAACTAAACACACAATTGTACCATTTAGAAACTATTGGGACATGAGTTTACCAATTTAACGGCATGCCTCCATCTACAACCGGCCCCTTTGGTCGGACACGACTATATTCTGTGCTTCACAGAACACGTTAAATGTACTAAATGCCTAAAGTCAATAATCACTGGCTGACATTTATACTCATGGTTTCCACTTCTTTACTCATCCGTCTTTGTGTGGGGTGTTATTAAATGTCAATCACCTTAGCCCAGTCATGTTAAACTCAAGGCCCGAGCAAATGCTAAAGGTCTCAGAAGGCAATGCAAAAGCTACTAGCAACAAAGCTAGCGACTTCTCTGGTGGAGGAGGTGGGGCTGCCGGGGGCGCGCTCACAGCGAGGGGCCGCAGGGGACACACGTCCACAGTGTCTCATTATAAAACTGAAAGGGCTGTGTGCACTAACGTACATGCTAGAGCTTAGCATTAGCTTGACCTTCTATCTCCCCGGCAATAACAGAGCGACTCTTTTACCGGATGAACCCATCAATATCTCCAACGGTATCCCTACACCAACAGCTCCATGAGTACCGAGAGGAAAAGCGACATAAACCCGTCGTTTCTCCGGTTACATGGGACGGCGCTTACCTCCGGTAGTCACGTTACACAGCGGCACTTTCTTGGTTTGTTCTTCGGTGGTGCCGGTGTTCTTCTTCTACTGTTCATTTAATGGTAACCCTGCGCCGCCGGAAGTGCAGGAGTTTAGAGCATAAGAAGAAAATCGTCTCTATAAAACATACACTTGTATTTATGAATACCTGGCTTTCTTAAGAGTATTTTAGTAATCTCACTGTTAAGTATTTTACCGTGTGGTAGTATGACTTTTACTATTATTGTGGTATCACTACTTTTACTGTGTCATCATCGCTGTTTGTCATTACAGAAATAACTCATTTTAGTCAGTTGCATGTTTGTACACAACAGCAGGTGGCGCTGTAACGGGTAAGATCGGAATTAAAAAATAGCATTTTGAGATTAACACACTATTTTCATTGTCATAAACATTTTGACGTCGTGAATCCACGTACACTTTTCGTGAAGTCAACATGTATAATATTTATGATGTCACTTTGCTGGTTGGATCACAAGCTAACAGCTAACAAGAAGCATCATCAAGCCGAAAGGAGTGACGCAATATTAGGTCGAATTATGTATTATATATATGGGAGCTAGCTAGCCACAAGCTATATATATATATATATATATATATATATATACATATATGTATACACACACACACACACACACATAAGTCATGTGTGTGGGGGGGGGGAGCATTATTTTGAAGGCAGTGACCGGATGTGCCTCGCGCTTGCCTCGTCTCTTCTCGTGCTCCACTCTAAGACGCCTCGGAGAGCTTCTTCTACCCTCCGCGGATCCGCGTCCAATCACGGCGTCTCTGCAGTGGACGGGGGTCGGAAAGATTCCGACCGAACCCTGCGGACTCCCGGAGGTCTGGAGCTAACGGAAGTGGGCAGCATCGGATGGTCTAGTCTCCGGTAAGGGGACCTGGACACCCGGGCCCGCCGCGGGAGGAGGCCCCGACGCCCCCTTGTTCTGACCCAAAAAACAGCGTCGACAGCCGGGCTGCCTCGTAACCAGAAGGCCGGCCCGCCTCTCCGGCAGCCCGCTGTGTGGCGCCGTAGCAATACAATTTACCGGACCGGTGTACCCGTCCGGACTGATTGTGTTGTTATTAGCAACCAACCGGATTTATCTGCTCTGACGTTTTTAAATTGCGACCTTCTGGATGCTCGGGCAGCTTGTGGCTAGCTAGCTAACAGCTAGCGCCTGTCCCCAGGAACGTGACGGACACAACACGGACCGGCTCCCGGTACATCCTACGGTTTGGACCGACCTCACAGCGGACACGGAACATGGCTGCCTTAATCAAGATCAAGGGGATCGTTAGCAGAAATAAAAGGCGTTTCCAGGAGGACGGCTTCGACCTGGACCTGACCTGTATCCTTTAACCGCCTCTGCTGCTGCCCCCAAGTTACACGGTTCTGGGTTACCTGGTTTTAGTAGCCTGGTTCTAGATCAACCTGGTTCAGTCTGTGTTTATTATAACGTGTTCGTCATAGCGATGACGTCAGCCCCCGTCTTCGACCCAGAATGGTGTCCTCTTCGTGCGCGTGTGTCTGTGCGTTAGCAGCGTCTCAGCCGGATGTCTGACTGCGTTTCCTTCTGCTGGGACGCGAACTCAACGTTTAACTCGAGTTCGTGCGTGTTGGTGTCTCATCATTCGGGGGGCAGCAGATGCTAACAAGCTAAGCTAACGCTGGCGGTAGTGGCGTTGCATCAGCACCAACTGACTGACACTTCGCTAACAATGATCACACATGTTGTGTAATCACACGGTCATACACACACATTTAGATTCGCACTACACTCGTTTCTGTTTTTAAATTGTAATATTGTTTGTGCACAAAACCAGTTTGTATTGATGACGTCATGTGTTTGTAGTGGAGAGACGGGTGGACGACGGGCTCGTGTCAGGTTGACTCTTTTTAACAGTTTCTGCCGAGGAGCCTTGGAGCAAGGCAGTGAAGCCTCTGCAGCTCGGGAGAGAGGCGTCTCTCGGCTGAGCAGACGCTGAACGTCTGCCTGTCGCAACATTTACTGAAACGTTGAATTGCTTTTTTAATAGTCTATGAAGCTCTGCCCACGTTGCTCCAGCTGCATTGTGGGAAGTGTAGGAAACCACCCGTTTGAAGAGGGATGCTTAACAAGCGCTCAGACATTTATCCAAACATCATAGCGATGGGTTTCCCAGCGGAGCGTCTGGAGGGCGTCTACAGGAACAACATCGATGACGTCGTACGGTGAGATCCCATCACATGACGTAGTCCACTGATGCACTTCCTGCTCCTTACAGTCACATGACTCGGCCCCAATCCCCCTCACCCTCACTCCTAAAGGACTTATCTCACGCCACCGGGTAAATGGTTGAGTGTGAGAGTCTGTGAACTTGTCAGAATGGGCGGGCACTTTGCTGCCACATGTCACGTCTCCATGACAACGTCAAAAACTCAGTCATCTTCTATACCGCTTATACTGCAGGGGGGCTGGAGTCAATCCCAGTTAGCATCGGGCGAGAGACGACGTCCACCCTGCTCCATTGCAGACACAGACAATCCTTCACTGACTCTCACATCCACAATGAACCTTTCCTGCATGTGTTTGGAGGGAATATGGCGAACATGTGGTGCTGCCCCACACCTGCCTTACTACTCAATGTTCGAATCATTTCTGTCGTGGGAATCGTTCATTCTGTACGCATGACGTCCATTTAGTCTGTCCTTCCCTCTGTCTCTCACTTAGGAAATTTTAAATACGGTTTTCATCGGTTTTTTGTCGAAATAGCTTGAATGACAAAATTAAATCTCAAATGAATAAATTGGTAAATGTCCTGTTTTTTGCCTATTTGAATCGTTCTGTTTTAAATGTATGCATCTCAATGTGAACACACGTGTGCATTGCATGTTGTGACTTGTTATTTTCTTGGAAAAGGTTCATAAAAGACTCAAAATATCTGAAAGCCTCAAACACTCGATGGCTGGATTTGAATTGTCCCAAAAATGTCCTCCTAAGGATAAAGATATTCCTTGACCCCTGTGGAAAAGGTCATTGGGTCGAGGAGAGTTCATGAGGAGTTCACATGTCATTTAGCTGACGCTTTTATCCAAAGCCACTTCCACTGCATGTTTAACCCGTCCCGCAGCGCGAGCAGTAACGCCTGGTTTATGCTTCTGCGTTTTCAGAGCGACGCAGACGCACGACCCCCTTGCGTCGCTTTTCACACATCCTTGCGTGTGTCGAGACATTTTTCTAGGCTTGCGTCTAAAGCGACGCAGCACCAGGCTGTGATCGGTCCGCTAACTACGTCCTTTACGGAGTCTCACATCTCCGTTTTCATAACCCGACACCGCCATTATTAAAAAGAAGAATGTTTACGAGAGAACGGATCAGATTGAAGAACTTTTGTCTGAAGAAATGCGTAAATATCAAATATCTATTTATATATTTCTACATCACAAGCGGTATTTCTCGTTAACAGACCAATGATTCGTCACTATTTAAATATTGCCGCTGCAAGGAATTGTGGGACGGAATTATCTCCTTTGGTAAAGGGTGCTCCAGTGGTTCCTACGCTAAAGGAGCTAAGTAAGGAAGCATTGAAGCTCCTTTCCTTCATTATCTCTAATGAATCATGGCGCCGCTTCACTTCACCTTCCAGAGAACGTTTGACTGATCCAGTCAAATCCAGACCATGGTACCCCTCACGGAGTGGGAGGGGCCTCAGGCTCTCAATCAGTAGGGGGGCTATAGTCTACTGATGCACTTCCTGAAGCTGTGTGTGTGTGTGTGTGTGTGTGTGTCAGGTTTCTGGACTCAAAGCACAAGAATCACTACAAAATCTACAATCTGTAAGTCTCTGATTTTATTTTAACGTCATCAAAGATTTGTTTAGTCAAACGTGCCATGTGACCTGCAGACATGATGTTAGCCATTAGCGTGACGTCGCTGTAACGTCTGTCCGTCCGTCCTCAGATGTGCGGAGCGACATTACGACACGTCAAAGTTCAGCTGTCGAGGTGAGAACGTCCTGGAGACATCAGGTCTCTCTCTCCGTACCTCGGTCTCGCTCCCCCTGACCTTACCTCTCTCGGTCTTCCCCGTCAGTGGCCCAGTACCCCTTTGAGGACCACAACCCCCCCCAGCTGGAGCTAATCAAGCCCTTCTGTGAGGACCTGGATCAGTGGCTGAGTGAGGACGAGCAGCACGTCGCCGCCATCCACTGCAAGGCAGGGAAAGGCCGGACGGGCGTGATGATCTGCGCCTACCTGCTGCACCGGGGCAAGTTCCAGGAGGCGCAGGAGGCTCTGGACTTTTACGGAGAGGTCCGCACCCGGGACAAGAAGGTACCGGCCCCGAGGTCCAGGACCGGGTCCATAGACTGAAGGCCTGAGATGAGAGCACAGGGCTTAGAGCTGAAAGGATGTGGCAACATGCAAGAAACTGTATCTGGTGTAGAAGAAGGAGGCGCAGAATCACAAGAGGTCTAGATTCATGTCTGCGGGACGACAAGCCAGCTCCTTTTTTAAATGATGAGTTTGCTTCAATCGGTGCTAAGCTAACGTTGTAGCATCTAACTCTCAGCGTAACGTCACATAAATATAAAGCAGTGTTGTTGTTTCTACAGTGTGTTTTGTTATACACGTGTGTGTGTGTGCGTGTGTGTGTGTGTGTGCGCTCGCTCCCCAAGGGCGTGACCATCCCCAGCCAGCGGCGCTACGTCCTCTACTACAGCTTCCTGCTGAGGAACCAGCTGCTCTACAAACCCGTAGCGCTGCTCTTCCACAAAATGCTGTTTGAAACCATCCCCATGTTCACGGGAGGCACCTGCAGTAAGTGTGTGTGTGTCACACACAGTGTGTGTGTGTGTGTGTCATATACTAATACGTGTGTGCGTGTGCGCAGACCCTCAGTTCGTGGTCTACCAGCTGAAGGTGAAGATACACACCTCCAATCCAGCAAACACCCGGCGAGAAGACAAGCTGATGCTGTTTGAGTTCCCTCAGCCACTTCCTGTGTGTGGAGACATCAAGGTGGAGTTCTTCCACAAGCAGAACAAGATGATGAAGAAGGTGAGCAGCGTTCCTCAGTCACTGATCGGACCAAAGGGTCTCATGGTGACCACCTTCATTGATTAAATGACCAGGACCATCTGGCAGGAAGTAGAACAGCTGGACCTGTTTATCACTTCAGATTCTGTCCCTCCAGGAGAAGATGTTCCACTTCTGGGTCAACACCTTCTTCATCCCGGGGCCAGAGGAAGAACTGGACAAGCTGGAGAACGGCAGTGCCGGGGCAGAGAAGACGCACCAGAACCCGGGGGGGGTGGTGATGATGGTTTCTGGAGGAGAGACCAACGACAGGGACTTCCTGGTTCTCACTCTGACAAAGACCGACCTGGACAAGGCCAACAAGGATAAGGCCAACAAGAACTTCTCCCCCAACTTCAAGGTAAGCACAAGACCTTCTGGTCCACCGGTCTGCTCTGTGAGAAGAACCTGAGCAGGTTCCTATATAAGACCTGGTGGACCAGGTTCTTCACACAGGACTTGCTGGATTGTTGTGGAGTTCATCAGTAGGTAGATCTGACATGCTGAGGAGCCAGTCAGTAAACCAGGTGTCCGTTATTCTTGTGGTGGCTTCAGGTAAAGCTCTACTTCACGAAGACGGTGGAGGAAGGAGCGCACTCGGACGCCAGCAGCACATCGGCCTCTGTGACGCCCGACGTCAGCGACAACGAGCCGGATCACTACCGCTACTCCGACACCACGGACTCTGACCCGGAGAACGAGCCCTTCGAAGACGATCACCACAATCAGATCACCAAAGTCTGACACACAAACTCTCACACATGCGCACACTGGTATATACACAACATACCAGTGTGTTTACGCACTCATGAACACCCAAACTACCAATGGGTGACTTTAGCTACCCGGGGAATATAACCAATGGACCAAGACTGACCTGAGGGTCTCCAAGGGCTCAGGTCAGTGTATAAGAACCCCCCCTCCAATCTTCTGCCCAATGCACAGCTGGACAATCACATGACGCGGTGGTCGGAGGTGAGTCGGGCGGGGCCAGAGTGGACTGGATGACGGATTGAATTGACAGGTGATTGGATAAAAAAAGCGAGACACGTAGAGATGTTTGATGAATCCCTGGTTCCCCCCTTCCACGCAGACAACCCCCCACCTCTGTCGTCTCTGGATTAGTCTTTGAAGGCCAAACTCAATGTGTATCTGTTTTATTGGTATAAATCTCTTATGTAAATCTGCAGCGTTTCCTTCTTTTAAACTTCAAACGGCTCTGAATTCGGACCTTCGAGGGTTATTAATCATTTTAACGAAGGAACACTTGAAACATGGATATTATTAGATCTGATCACCAATCGGTATAGTAAAGGTGCATATTTTAGTCCTAAAACAATGTCGAACCAACATCATAGGTTGTAAAAACAGAACCCTGAAGAGTTCTGATCCGGTTTGGACGCGTCAGCCTGAGATGGAGAGGGCCAGTGAGGCGATCAGAGCCGGTTAAATCCGGTCTAACGGATTCGTTTTGATGACATGGGAAACCTCCAGAGAACTTACTCTGTCCCGTTATCGACCGGTCTCTGTTCTGGTCTCTAGCGGAGATGAACCAATCTCGGGTCTGCTCCTGGTTCCGGACCGTTTCTCCTCAAAGTTGGTCTTCATATCTTCAGTCTGACGTGGTTGTCAGGCGGCATGCCGTGTGGGCGGGGTCCTTTCACAAAGCTGCTGGTTTCTCTACAGAAAAGGAGTCTTGTGGGGGGGTCCGTCTAAGCCAATGTGAGGGTTCTTCTCTTTCAGGCCATAGAATCAATCAGAGGTTTCTCCCAGGTCTACAAGAACATCTGCCTTTAGATGAGATGTTCTTGTAGACCAGTGATCCCCAACCACCGGAGTGCGAACCGGTACCAGTTTGTTGGACGGTTATTTTGACGTTTTTATCCTCCACACCTTCCAGACCGGTCCGAAATATTGTCTAACATAAAACCGATCCGTGAGGCAAAAAAGGTTGGGGACCGCTGCTGTAGACCATCTTCCTTCTAGATGAGAGGTTCCTGTGGACCATTGGAGCCTCCCAGAGTCTCATTGGGTTTTAGGTGCTAAGCTAGTTGGGTTCCTCTGGTCCTGATCGTTGGTGTGGCAACAATCTCCCGGCCCAGTTCTTGTCTCGACTCCTGTCGTGTCTGACCTCCGGTCATTACCCGGTTGTTGAGGCGCAGTCGATACCGGTCGTTGGTTATCGTTCAGCCCGATGCTGCAGAGCTGATGAACTTCCTGTTGGAGACGTGTTCATTAACATGTAACGTGTAAAGAACAAACGCCAGATGTTCAGGGTTCTTACTCAATGATTCAGATCAATGACGTCATGTTCACCGGTTAAAGTCAATGACCTTTGACCCTGACCATGCTCTGGAGAAATTTAGCTGTTTTCTGTTTACATCAAACCTGCCAAAATGAAGCTCACTGTTTCCTTTTTGTTTTCTTATTGTTTCTTGGTCATTCTGGGTAAAAGTTAAAGCAGAAACCATGTTTTGCTTTAAGGTTTGGTCACATTACAACATCCTGGTGGAAGCATCATGTCTGGGTTTCTAGTTGAATGTGGAGGTTTAAAGGACATCTTTATATCTTTGTCTATAGGGAAGTGAATGAGAGGCGGAGCTTATGTTGTTTTAGGACCGAGGCATCATGTGACCACTTGATTACCGCTCTTTGCTCCACAATATACATATATAGATTACTATCTACATATGTATAATATCTGTATATTCTATATCAAATGGCAGATGGGCTCGTCAATGACAAGTGATTCACATTTTAAAGTCCCACCCCGTGATAATTGAGCTTCAGCAGTAAATGCTTTATACAGAATTTATAATATTTAAAAAATGAATCTTTGAATTCAGACAGAAATGATTAGATTTTCTAATCAGCTCATTTATATTATCCGCTGTAGCTAGCTAAGCTAATGCTAGCTCCATGATTTGGGTGAAAACTTTGGTTCTCTGACTGACTTAAATGTTTCAATCTTGTTTTTTGAGAAAGAGATTTTAAATGCAATCTTAATATCATGCTAACAGAGCTAAAGCTAACGGGTCATCATCATGCTAGCAGACTGTGGCTAAAGCTAACAGTTCCTGCTAATAGACTGAAGCTAACACTATCTGATCATGACATCATGCTGAAAGACGAGCTAAAGCTATCTGACTAGATTTGATTGGACAATGAAAGTGGGGGAGGGGTTTAAACAACGCAACAGGTTTATTTACCGTAACGAGCGGTAACGCCTTTTTATCAGTCTTATCAATCACCGGTTCTCACATCTCGTCCACATTGTTGAAATGATTTAAATATTCAGCCATGACGACAACAGCAACATAAAACACCAATCGAAACACTCCGACTGTGAGAACGATCAGAGCGAACGTCACGTCGCACACTTCATTCAACTTCTTAAAGGTAAAACCTTTTGAGTTTAATAAACTGTTGAAGCTGAATATTGTTTGTTTCTGTTCATGATTGTCCTGTTTTTATGTCAGATTTAGTCAAAAAACAAACACCGTCACCATGGCAACCATGGCAAACATTTTATGTTAAAATACCCACCGACCCTCAATTTACGTTATGCTTTCCCTCCTTGTTTTATAATTAAAAACACTGTAAAGGTGAATAAACTATTTATAAACATCTGTTGTTGTGATTCTTTTCTTCGGTTTCACATTGAGCAGGTAATTCGATTTAGTGTTTACATTCTTCTATTTGTACTTCTATATCCTTTAGCTGCTTATTGTTCTACTAATAAATGATGATTATTGAAGAATACCATCTGGGTAGTAACTTGTATCTGGGTAGTAAATTTCAATATATCTAAGATCCAGTGACTTTGCAGAAATTATAATCTCTTCCCCCACAATGCACTGCAGCATCACTTCTCCAAGGGACTGGAGAACAAGAAATACACTCGATTCTATCTGCTTCACTTCTATAGCAAGATCAAATGAAACGTAAGAGAAACATCGAAGGGCTTCGACCCTTCATGTCACGAGTCGCCATCAGAAACTAACTGAGTGTGTTTATTACATCGGCAGGGGTCGGCCCATTGACCTCTATACTTTAGCTCTTTTGACCTTTGACCTCAACATTTACCATCAGGTTAAAGTTTAGACCAGGACACAAAACAATGACGAATTGACATTTATTCATATAGAGCCTGTCACTGCAACAATTACACAATGACGTAATAATCACAGCGAAGCCTTCAGCGCACTGAGCGCGCTCAGAGCCGACTCCACGCAGCCGGAGAAGTTGGAGTGGACGAAGGAGTCTCCGGCGCAGAGGAGCGGCGGCCTCTGGAGGAGGGTCATGTGACCCGGGCTGTCCGGCACAGAGGTCAGCACCTGGGAGTACCTCCACTTCTGACACTTGATGCTGATTGGCTCAGGCAAACCAGGAAGCAACTTGTGGAGCTCCTGTAGGATGATTGGCTGGACGGCCTCCTTGTCTTCCTCCAGGTGCTTCAGGCCAAACGGGACACTGGTGTGGACCACGAGGGACGGACCTCGACCCAGGACGTCTGAGGGGACGGACAGGACGTGATGTCATACAGGGAGCAGACGGACAGGATGTGACGTCATACAGGGAGCAGACGGACAGGACGGGACGTCATGCAGGGAGCAGACGGACAGGACGTGACGTCATACAGGGAGCAGACGGACAGGACGTGACGTCATACAGGGAGCAGACGGACAGGACGTGACGTCATACAGGGAGCAGACGGACAGGACGTGACGTCATACAGGGAGCAGACGGACAGGACGTGACGTCATACAGGGAGCAGACGGACAGGACGTGACGTCATACAGGGAGCAGACGGACAGGACGTGACGTCATACAGGGAGCAGACGGACAGGACGTGACGTCATACAGGGAGCAGACGGACAGGACGTGACGTCATACAGGGAGCAGACGGACAGGACGTGACGTCATACAGGGAGCAGACGGACAGGACGTGACGTCATACAGGGAGCAGACGGACAGGACGTGATGTCATACAGGGAGCAGACGGACAGGACGTGACGTCATACAGGGAGCAGACGGACAGGACGTGATGTCATACAGGGAGCAGACGGACAGGACGTGACGTCATACAGGGAGCAGACGGACAGGACGTGATGTCATACAGGGAGCAGACGGACCTGCGTTGCGTTTCCGGGAGTCAGCGGCGATGTAGCGGATGATGCTGCTATCTGAAACGTATCTCGCCGACCACGGAAAAGAGAAGACGACGTCCGGAGGAAAGAAAAGAGCGACGGCAAAACGAGACGAGAACTCAACATCCTCCAACTGCTGCTTCTGAGAGACAGACAGCACTGAGTGACAGACAGGGGGACAGCGGGACAAGGGGACAGAGTTAGATATTAAACATTATCACAGTTTGACTCAACTTTAAACCTCTAAACACACAAACCAACCAGTGTGTGTGTGTGTGTGTGTGTGTGTGTGTGTGTGTGTGCAGGGAGAGATTGGGCGCTGTCCCCTGTCAGCCAATCAGATGAGCTGAAGATGACATCATTATCAACATCATCAGAGGGCGGGGCTTTGTCCCCCTCACACACACAAAGATACACAAACTTCAAATAATCCAGAAAGCTTGAAGAATTTAACAATCTTTCCTCCAGAATCAGTTTCTTCTCCAACAGCAGCTGACGCAGCGACGTAACACTGATTCTACATCTGGAATCTTTCATCATTGACTGTAAACCCTTTTATTCCCCCGTGAGTTCGCTTCATTCGTCCTGGTCGGTGTTTACAACGTGCACGAGGCCCAGCGGACACTCGCCGACCACATACGGCGTGTGGAGCGGACCGACCCGGACTCCTTGGTTATCGTCCTCGGGGACTTTAACAAAGGAAATCTCACACACGAACTCCCTAAGTACAGTTTATTAAAGGCCCCACCAGAGAGGAGAAGGGTTAGGCTACGCTGGATCACTGTCACACCACAGTAAGCAGGGCTCATCACGCCGTCCCTCGTGCTGCACTGGGACACTCTGATTCCTGCATACAGGCAGAAACTAAAGCTCTGCAAACCTGTGGTGAGGGAATTCAAGAAGTGGACCAGTGAGGCGCTGGAGGATCTTCGGCGTACTTTGACTGCACAGACTGGGATGTTTTCAGCTACTGACAGTCTGGATGAGTTCACAGAGGCTGTAACTTCCTACATCGGCTTCTGTGAGGACAGCTGTGTACCATCATGCACCAGGGTGAGTTACAACAACGACAAACCTGGTTCACAGCGGAACTCAGAACACTACGCCTGCAGAAGGATCAGGCATTTAGGAGCGGGGACAAAGACTTGTACACAGAGTCAAAGTACAGGTTTAGCAAGGCGGTGAGATGCTGAACGACTGAGAAACTCCAACAGTTCTCAGAAAGTGACTCTGCTTTGGTTTGATGAGGCTTCACCTCACTAACAGGACTAAGACCTCCCGCCACACCAACAGTTTCCTCAACATCCCACCATCACTCCACATGCACACACACACACTCACTTTCACACACTCACAACACAGTTGTGTAGAGTTCTGTTTTCTGGTGCACTTTATTTTTAACTGTAACCTTTAACTTCCTTCTTCCTTTATTTTTAAATTGTTTATTCTATGTCCCTCTATCCTTATATTTTATTTTATATTGTCAAGTCAAATTGTAAATTTAACACGCCATTTTCTTGCACTATCTTGTCTTATCTGTCTTGTTGTCTGATGTTGTATGACCGCCATGTCAGATTCCTTGTATGTGTGTTGAGTGTGTGTTTATGTGTGTGTGTGTGTGTATGGATGTCTATCTATGTGTGATTGTGTGTGTCTAACAGCTAGTGAATCGGTCTTACTTTGTCCCTTGTAGTTAGATATGCTAAGCTAACAGCTAGTGAATCGGTCTTACTTTGTCCCTTGTAGTTAGATATGCTAAGCTAACAGCTAGTGAATCTGTCTTACTTTGTCCGACATTTCCCTGTATCTACGTATGCTAAGATAACAGCGTATGAATGTGTCTCACTTTGTCCCACGTCTTCTTGCGGCTAGGTATGCTAAGCTAACAGCTAGTGAATGTCTCACTTTGTCCCACGTCTCCCTGCAGTTGGAGGATCTGAGGGGCCGGCATCGTCAGGACGACAGCATCAAACATCTCACTGCCTCCTACCTTCCTCTGCACCTCCCATGATGCACCACGGCGGTACAGACCGGTGACGTGGCGCTCCAAGAACAGGTCAGCTCCTGAGAGAAAGTCAGAGAGACAAAAAGATAGTCAGAGAGACACACAGTCAGAGATGGACAGCGAGACAGACAAACACATCGTGTCTACCTGACTGGGACAGGAAGTGCTTCACCACGCTGCTCATGCCCTGGGGCGTCATGTAGTTCTCGTCCCCGTCTCTGTGCTTTAGTCCTTCAACCAAAGAGTCCAGAGGCTGCAGGACGCCTGCAGAGAGCAGCTCGGAGTAGAACCTGAACGTATGAAGGTCCAGCACTCAATGATCAATAATCACTCATCAAACATCTGATCGGATCGCTCGGTACCTTTGGTGCGACTGAGCATAAGAAGACGTGGACGTGATGTACTGGGCTCCGAGATCAGCTGAGTGAGACGAGGAGTCAGGAGGACGAGTGGTAGACATCCTGCCCCCTGAGAGACAGAGACAGAGACAGACCGGTAGAGAAAGACCGGTGTCGAGGGAGACTGAGACAGTTTTCTCCTCTTTTGTTGTAAATAATTTAGGCGTTTTTAGAAAATACTTTATCAGGGAATTTGAATGAATCTAATATTTAAATAAAGAACCAAAGTAACTTATTAAAAATGAATAATTCCTATTTAATGACGTAAACGATAAAGATCAGACAGGATCTGAAGGTAAGTCAAGTCAAGTCATTTTATTTTGTATAGCCCAAAATCGCAAATTACAAATTTGCCTCAGAGGGCTTTACAGTCTGTACACATACGACATCCTCTGCCCCGAAACCCTCCATCGGCACAGGAAGGTAACAGCTCTCTGATCATCTCTCTCTCTTTTTATTATCTGATACTATGAGGAAATAGGTTGATTCTTTTACAGCCGAATCTTAAAATGGATCCTGCTGATCCAGAACCCGTCTCCGGCCACGCGCTGCAGCGCGCCCCCGAGCGGCCGTTAACGGGAGATTATTCAATGCTCCGGTTTGTGGGTGCAATTCGGACTCACCGGAGCCCCTCGCTTTGTCCCACACCTCTATCTGAACTTTGTTCTGCAGCTCTCTCCTCAGCAGACATGCGCAGAGGCTGCCTGTCAGCCCCGCACCGACGATCAGAACCCGGGACATGTTTGAACTCGGAGCCGGACTGATTCTGCGACGAGACCTTAAACCGGGTCGTAACCGGTCCGGATCCGCTAGTCCTCGGGTCAGAGCAGCGGAAGTTAGACACGCCCCCTGCGTGATATAACAGCGGAATAGAGATGGACCAACAAAAACTATCCCGGTGAACGCCACGGTCAAGCTAACAGGGATACACGCGCGACATTCGACTGAGCTTTTCACTATAAATGTCTTTCAGCCTCCTGATGAATGAAGACGAAACTGTTTCGCAAAAGATGGTCGTAATAGCAGGTGTGTTCACGTGTAATCCTGTAACAGAAGCTTTTTTTCTGAAGTTGGGTCTGACTGATTCGTTTTTAGACAGATTCTGCTGATGTAACCCTGCTGGTCGGTTCCGGTCTGTTTCCTGGTTTCTATTTCCGGTCTCTGTTGTTTCGGAAACAGAGTACAAGTCGATCAAAGAACTTCGTGATTCATCCGATCGGAAAACATAAAGTGTATAATAACCTAGTCCTCATTTCGACCAATCAAAGTGACGCACTCCTTCTGACGTCACCACCGTTTCTTCCACACAAAAAAATCGTCTGCTGATCAGAAAGTTTAAAGATCATCAGAGCTGCAGACTGGTGAGTGATGGTCCTTTATTGATCCGTTATTATTGCGGTATAACTTTGTACTTAACTCTGTTTGGGTAAACTGAACCCAACGCCACAAATCTATTTTGAGTTAAACTGTTGGTGATATTTTTTCTGTAACAAGTAACATCACACTGTGTCCCGGAGTAGCTGTAAAGTGATCACAAGTCTCTTTCATTGCGTCTCACTTGATCTTGATCTTCATTACACGAGAACAGCTGCGATGACCTCTGACCTCTGAGGTCCTGAACAAAGAGCTGATCAAACTCCAGTAGACCAACAAACTCTTCGTGACAAACGTTATTTTATAAAATAAAAACGTATCAAAAATAATTCAGCATCAAACCAACGGACCAAAGATAAGGCTTAAGTTTAAATGTTTTAACGTAAATGTTGGAGATCGCAGACGAGCTGATATCAGAAAGTCTGAAGATAGAAATGATTTAACTGAAACTGTGAGAAGATGATAGAAGGTCAGTAACCATGTAAAACTCAGCAAAGGTGTGTGAAACTCGACTCACAGACTATGGTCAAAGTTCATCACGTGATGATGATGTCACTTCCCTTTTATCGGTCTCATGTGACTGAAGCTGGAGTCCTGCCAAGTTACAGTGTGTGTGTTTCTGTGTGTGTGTGTGTGTGTGTGTGTGTGTGAGACAGGCCATGCTTTGTCTAGTGGTGTGTGTGTTGAGCCTCTCCGCTCTCGTCCTGTCCGGACCGACCTTCCAGCGACGCTTTGACAAACTGCACCAGAGGCTGGACCCTGAAGTACACATGAACATCGTGAGTACACAAACGTACAAAGACAGTGAACGCATCATGTGCTCTGAGCCGTATATAGCTGAGAATATATCTGTACCTGCCTCCGCGTAGTCATGACAACAGCTCCCCATGGCACTCCTGTATCAGCGCGTATTTAAACGTCTCACAGGCGCAAACTCTCGTCCGACCGGTCGTTGTGTTTGGTTCGGTCCACTGGAGGGTTGTTGTTGTGTAGAGTAACCCGGTTTCCCTGTTTGCCAGTCAGAGATTGTGCGTTGGTGGGGTTACCCTGCAGAGGAACACCAGGTTCCAACGGAGGACGGCTATATTCTGACCGTCAACCGGATCCCAGGCGGACGCCAGCACGCCGCAGGTGAGACTCTCGGAGATCCAGTCGGACCCTCTACTGTGACGGCTTCTAGAGGTTCTAGAGGTCCTAAAAGTCTGACAGGTCCAGCAGGTCAGGGGCCGGCCGTCTTCTTGCAGCATGGACTCCTGGCCGCAGGCAGCAACTGGATCACCAACCTGCCAGACTCCAGTCTGGGCTTCGTGCTCGCCGACGCCGGCTACGACGTGTGGATCGGGAACAGCCGAGGAAACACCTGGTCCAGGAATCACCGCACCCTGAGACCAAACCAGGAGGAGTTCTGGAGGTTCAGGTACAAGCCCTGTCACCTTCTCTCTGTATACAGTATGTATTTAATATGCATCATACGTGTATGTTGTGTGCTCAGCTATGATGAGATGGCTCTGTTGGATCTACCAGCTGTTGTGAACCACATCCTGAAGGCAACGGGTCAGAACCAGATCTCCTACATCGGGCACTCTCAGGGGACCACTATAGGTAACACACATCTATGGCAATATTATATTATATGTATATGATTATTTAAAGCAGTGACAAACATACAGACAAAAGCAGATGATTTTCCACCACAACAACACAACAACGGCACAACAAAAGGTAAAAGTATGAAGTATTAGAAGGCTTATCTGCCCTCTTCACAAGAAGAGAGGCCCCAGTGTGTGGCGGGTCCTAAAATACTGGCAGCAGACGGTGTGAAGCCCACTAAATTGCCGAACCACCGATTTACAGTGTACTAACATTTGACACCTCTATTTTCTTCCCAGCATTCATAGCGTTCTCCTCGCTGCCAGAGCTGGCCAGTAAGATCAAGTTGTTTGTTGGTTTGGCTCCCGTGGCAACGGTCAGTTTCACCGCCAGCGCCATGACGAAGCTCTCCGTGCTACCTGACTTCCTCATCTGGGTAAGCTGTTAACGAGCTACTATCACGTGACCTGCTAACGAGCTACTATCACGTGACCTGCTAACGAGCTACTATCACGTGACCTGTTAACGAGCTACTATCACATGACCTGTTAACGACCTACTATCACATGACCTGTTAACGACCTACTATCACGTGACCTGTTAACGAGCTACTATCACGTGACCTGCTAACGAGCTACTATCACGTGACCTGTTAACGAGCTACTATCACATGACTTGTTAACGACCTACTATCACATGACCTGCTAACGAGCTACTATCACGTGACCTGTTAACGAGCTACTATCACGTGACCTGCTAACGAGCTACTATCACGTGACCTGTTAACGAGCTACTATCACATGACCTGTTAACGACCTACTATCACATGACCTGCTAACAAGCTACTATCACGTGACCTGTTAACGAGCTACTATCACGTGACCTGCTAACGAGCTACTATCACGTGACCTGCTAACGAGCTACTATCACGTGACCTGTTAACGAGCTACTATCACGTGACCTGTTAACGAGCTACTATCACGTGACCTGCTAACGAGCTACTATCACGTGACCTGCTACCGAGCTACTATCACATGACCTGTTAACAACCTACTATCACATGACCTGCTAACGAGCTACTATCACATGACCTGCTAACGGGCTACTATCACGTGACCTGTTAACGAGCTACTATCACGTGACCTGTTAACGAGCTACTATCACATGACCTGTTAACGACCTACTATCACATGACCTGCTAACGGGCTACTATCACATGACCCAACGCGTTAATAATGCATGACCAAACTATCCGTGTGACCCGACTTCTTCATGTGTGTAATGAGCTGTTAACGATCTACTATCACATGACCTGCTAACGAATGATGTTTATTCGTTGATTAACAGATTTTCTTCACATCTCTATTAGGACCTATTTGGGAGGCGGGACTTCCTGCCTCAGAGTCGTATGATCGAGTGGTTTGCAGAACATGTGTGTGCAAAGCAGCTGCTCAGTGAGTTGTGTGGCAACCTTTTCTTCGTCCTCTGTGGCTTCGACGAGAAAAACCTCAACATGGTTCGTATTAAACACGTGATGTCAGATTGTTTTTTTGAGTTATCTTCAGTGAGATTGGGGCGTTTGTTTCCAGACTCGCATTCCAGTCTACACCGAACACTGTCCTGCTGGGACCTCAGTCCAGAACATGGTCCACTGGGCCCAGGTAACACACACATACCTGGCTGTGTGTCGTTGTGAGGACCGTCGATGGTATTGTGCGCTGTATGGACCCTAAACATCTGGAACTTGTTCTCAGGCGGTTCATGGAGGAAAGCTGAGTGCCTTTGACTTTGGAGCTTCAGGAAACATGAAACACTACAACCAGGTGAGACTCTCATCTGACCTAGACAGAGTCCTCAGGTCTCTGTTTTCTGACTCTGACCGTCTGTCATGTCCTCAGTCCACTCCCCCTGAGTACCGCGTCCAGGACATGAAGGTTCCCACCGCACTGTTCTCAGGGGGACACGATACGCTGGCGGACCCCAAAGACATAGCGCTCCTCCTCACTCAGGTGAGTCAAGGATCCTCAGGATCAGAATGAACAGGGTCAAGTGATTTATTCATCAATACTGATCAAAGGACCTGTCGGTCTCTCTCTCTCTGCATGTCTATCCCTTTGGTGTCTCTGTCTGTATCTCTGTGTCTGTCTCTCAGATGTCTAACCTGGTCTTCCATCAGAACATTGAACACTGGGATCATCTGGATTTTATTTGGGGCCTTGATGCTCCAACACAGATGTTTCCCTCCATCCTGAAACTGCTGCAGGAATATCAGTAGACTGTGTGTGTTAGACTTGAATAGTGTGGATCATCATACCCGCTGATGACATCACTATATATGATTACAACACCTGTTTTTTCTTTCTACTTCAGGGTTTTCTTGTACTTGACTTAAGGACTCAGGACTCTGATTATTCAGTTAATCTGCTGGGAGCTACATTAGCCGTGTGTCTAAGAGATGCTAACTTTAGCATTACAAGTCAGCATCAGCAAACATCATCACATCACATTAAAAAAATTAGTTTGATGTTAACCAAAATACCTGTCAATCCATTCCATTCAATTCATTTCAGGAAACATTTATTACCAAAATATGTCAAACACACAAGGAATTTGTCTTGGCGGTTGGTGCGTGACAGTGGACAGTGTGACAATAGACAAGACAGCAGTAAGTAATAAAATAAAGTAAAATTAAATGCTAATGCAATGAGTTAGTAGAATAAGGCTATGGGTTAGTATAAAACAAGGGAATAAAGTTAAACATTTTAAATATTAAAAAAGTTAAAGAAAATATTAAGCATAAAGTAACAAAGTGACGAGTGACGACAAAGAGGTCTTTTTATTCTTTGATCCGTGGAAAACCAGCCCTAACTATAGGCAGAATCAAAGAGGAAAGTTTTAAGTTTTACTTTAAAAGAGCTGAGCTTTCTGCCCCCCGGACTGAAAGTGGAACCTGGTTCCACAGAAGAGGAGCTTGATAACTGAAGGCTCTGGCCCCCAGCCTACTGTTTAAAACCATAGGAACAACAAGTAACAAGCATCTATGGAGCGCAGCTCCTTGTAGGGCAATAAGGTGTTACAAGCTCTTTAAGATACGACGGTGCCTCACCAGCAAGTGCCTTGTAGGTGAGGAGAAGTACCTTAAAATCTATTATTGATTCAACAGGGAGCCAGTGCAGAGAAGTTAGTACAGGAGTGATATGATCCCTTTACTTAGTTCTTGTTAATACACGTGCTGCAGCATTCAGAGTGAACTAAACAGGCTTAAGAGATTTACAAGAGCAGCCTGATAATAAAAAATTGCAGTAATCTACTCTGGAAGTAAAAAACGCAGGAACTAATTTTACTGCATCACAGACAAGAAGTTCCTGATTTTTGATATGTTACGTAGATGAAAAAAGGCAGTCCTTGAAGTCTTCTTTATATGAGAGCTGAAGAACATATCCTGGTCAAAGAGATTCTTCATGGTGCTGCTGGATACCAGATTCCGTCCAGAGAAACTATCAGAGACAGCTGATTTAATTTAGAAAGTTGCTGGTCTGTCTCATCTGGTTTGATCGACAGATACAGTTGAGTATCGTCTGCATAACAATGGAGGTTTATGCAGTGTTTTGTAATCGCCCAAATGAAGCATATAGAGGGTCAATTTAATTGGTCCAAATACAGAACCTTGTGGGATCGAGGATTCACCGTTTACAAACGTAAACTGTGATCCATCCGATAAATACAACGTAAACCAGCTGAGTGCGGTTACGCAGGAACAGCAGCATCCTATCACGGTGCTTCAATGTTGGTGGGCGGAGCTAAACGTTTATACTCAGAATGTTTGTGCTAAATATGAACCACATCCAACTGTCTGAACTCATAACTCACCATTTGGTTTGATAAACTTTATTTAGAAATAAAAAAGCTACATTTAAATGTATAAGATGGTCTATATTAGTATCTACAAACATGTTAAGGTCAGATAGTTTCTACTCATCTTTATTCATCTTCTGAATGTTTTACATATTTTATTAAATATTTGTTTACTCTTACAGACATGACACATTACTATGGTTCCAGTAGTTGTGCTAAGCTAGGCTAACGTTGTAGTTTAATAAACATTGCGAGGACATTTTAACTGTTCTATCGTGTATGTTAAGGCCTTCAAAATAAAAGCATTTGCCCCTTTATCTTAAATGCGGTTTATCTTTAGAAATTATTTATTTGTTCATTAAATATAACAGAGGGTCAAATATAAGTCTGAATATATCTGAATCCTAATTTGAATACGTTTTGAAACACATGAAATCTTTCTGCACATATATATTGTCTGTCCATCTGTCCTCTTGTCTGTCCGTCTGTCTGTCACTGTTTCTTCTTCAGCATTTGGACGATGTTCTTGAACTTTAATCTGGTGGCGATGTCCAGCGGTGTTTCTCCTTCCTGAAAAAGGAGGAGGAGGTGAGACGTGCCGTCAAAGAAGAAGCTGATGTGAGTCGTGGTGCGTTTGAGGACCTACATTATTTGTGATGTTTGTGTCGGCGTTTCTGTTCAGCAGCAGAGGAATTAGACGGTGACTCTTCCTCTGACAGACGTAATGAAGAGCAGTGTTTCCTTTCTGCATAGAATACATGAAATATATAAAACTACACTACAAATGAACAACTTGTACAACACAACATATGTTAAATATTTAAAACTATAGGTTAGGGATATATATATATATATATATATATATATATTCTATCAAAATATATCCAAAACACATAATACTAACAATCAGGGCTTGACGTTAACATTTTTGGGGGGGGTTCCAAAGTTACTAGCCACTCAGCTATTTCATTAGCCACAAGTTTTGTTGTTGGGAAATTCAGTTTAATTTGGGGTGTAAAGCTTCTTTTGTATGAAAACAAATGCAACTATTTAAGACAAAGACAAAAAGAGTAGCTCATTGCATATAACTGGTGTAAAGCTCCGCCGACTTCATGAGGACCGGAGACCTAAACGCTTCCTCCGTTTAGTCGAAAGCTTTTGACACGGCCAACGGAAACTTCATGGTCCTTTATTGTTTCCACTGTGAAGTTGCTTGTCCCTTCGAAAGAGACCCCTTAACCTTTTCACTGCCGTACGTCCTACAATCAGTGCCATACATTATTTTCTTGCCTCCACCTGTTCCGCGAGCTGGTGCGTCCCTGTTGCTTAGTAACGAACGTACGGTTTAACAGTCCTCTCAAGATGTGGTCTGTGAACTGGTTGAAATGTGTGGTTTTCGCGGTCAATGCGTGAGGCTCCAGAACCTGCATTGGGTTTATTATTTGGTGTTTCTGTAACGGACGGTCTCATCCAGCCGAGGAAACTCTGGAAACCGTCACCAGAAGAGGAGCAGGCGGTTCGGCCCGGATCTCCGCTGCTGTTAAACGGGTCTCCATGTCTTCATCCTGCTTGCTAAACTGAGCACGGAGAACTGAGAAGTGCCCAAGAACCAGCGCTGCCACCAATGTCAGCGAGCTGGTTCATGGCACTTAAATAACCGCTGTTACACTACAACACAAAATAGAGAGAGACTTATAGGCTACAATATATAGACTGCTTGACCTGCCACAGCCAGATTCTACCCACAACGTCAAGCCCTGCTTACAATATACAAGACATATATACATAAAACACCAAATACACTGAAAACCCTTCTGTTAGCAGCAGTAAACTGGTGTTTTCACTCACATAGTCGACAGCGTTGACGTCGACGCTGCTGCTCAGCATCGCCTCCATCAGAGAGACACTGTGCCTCTGTTTCTGTAACTAACACACACATTTGAAGCCTTATTGATTAACAAATGATCAGACAGGACAACATCACCACAACATCACCACAACTGTGGAGACGTGGACTCGTGCTAGCAAACCAGCTACGCTAACAAATAGGCTAACTGCTTGTTAGCTTGAAGTAAACTACATACTGGTGAAGTAAACAGCAGTTTGTTAGCAGTTAGCTTAGCTGCAGAAGCCCTTATATTTACTAATATACATATACACATTTACTGTGTGTATATATATATATAAATATATATATACATGATATATATAAATATATATATACATGATATATATGAGAGAGAGAGAGAGAGAGATCTATACGATCATATATAGATAGATGTATAGATATAAGCGCTTTACGTGGATATAAACCTAAATGCAGTAAGGTTATATTTGTACGTACATACAGTATGTGTAAGGTTATATTTGTACGTACACACAGTATGTGTAAGGTTATATTTGTACGTACATACAGTATGTGTAAGGTTATATTTGTACGTACACACAGTATGCGTAAGGTTATATTTGTACGTACATACAGTATGTGTAAGGTTATATTTGTACGTACATACAGTATGTGTAAGGTTACATTTGTACGTACACACAGTATGTGTAAGGTTATATTTGTACGTACATACAGTATGTGTAAGGTTACATTTGTACGTACATACAGTATGTGTAAGGTTATATTTGTACGTACATACAGTATGTGTAAGGTTATATTTGTACGTACATACACAGTATGCGTAAGGTTATATTTGTACGTACATACAGTATGTGTAAGGTTATATTTGTACGTACATACAGTATGTGTAAGGTTACATTTGTACGTACACACAGTATGTGTAAGGTTATATTTGTACGTACACACAGTATGTGTAAGGTTATATTTGTACGTACATACAGTATGTGTAAGGTTACATTTGTACGTACACACAGTATGTGTAAGGTTATATTTGTACGTACATAGAGTATGTGTAAGGTTATATTTGTACGTACACACAGTATGTGTAAGGTTACATTTGTACGTACACACAGTATGTGTAAGGTTATATTTGTACGTACACACAGTATGTGTAAGGTTATATTTGTACGTACATAGAGTATGTGTAAGGTTACATTTGTACGTACACACAGTATGTGTAAGGGTATGCGTACCATGAGGAAGTAGCCCAGCAGCAGGATGGGCATCAGAATGGAGATCAGCAGATAATCCAGCAGAGAGAAGCTTCTCTTGGACAAGTAGTGAAGAGATGTCCTCTGTTTCTGAGACACAGAGACACTTAACGTTATAGTCTGCTGGGGTCGTGTCATGATGACATCATCAGCCCTGCGCACCTCATTAGGCAGGTGAACGTCCGCCCCATTGTCCAGCAGGTACCGGACCACCCTGAGGTTACCACGGCGACAGGCCGCGATCAGGGGTGTGTCCCCGTTGTGCCGGTCCTGGACATTGAGCTGGTTGGCATCTTCTCTGAGGAGGCGATAGAGGTGATGGACGTCTCCGTCATAGGCCGCCTGACAGGCCGGCTGAGGAGGAGGAGCGTGTTATAAAACCACATTGTTCAGTGGAACATCAGCTGAGACGGATTAGACATCGATCGATAGATCTGTGACGATGACGTACACATTATGAGGTTCACAATAGTTTCTAAACGCTGTTTAAAGTAATAAACTCATACACGATGATGTCATAACAGACATTAAATGAACTCATGCATCAACAATAATTACATAGTCATCCATAGAAAGAGTACTTTGGATACTTGAAGTACTTTTTTTAATGCGGATGTACTTCTACTCGTAGTGTCACCGGTTAAAATTATAGGAGTCTCAACTGAAGCTAAACTTCAACACACACCGGAAGTGAAAAAGGAGGAAAACAGGAAATGAAAATAATTGAATTTGAAGATTAAAGATGAAAACAGCAACAATAGAGAGATGTGTTTTTTACCTCTGAGTACACGAGCCCCATGACCGCCACGAGGAAGACACCTGGACGTCCACACACTCACCGACGGGAAGAAGACACCTGGACGTCCACACACTCACCGACGGGAAGAAGACACCTGGACGTCCACACACTCACCGACGGGAAGAAGACACCTGGACGTCCACACAAGGAGGAAGACTTCAGAATAAAGCTGAGTGAGGAATTCAACAGGCTCTCCCTCTTTAGTTTCATCAGGAAAATAAAATGATTGACTTTTATTTTGTCATGTTCAATGTTTAAACTTCCGCCTACTTGGTCTCAAACAAGCAGAAACACGCTGCAGGAAGCCAGAAGTTTGTCACAGCTAAAAAGAGACCTGTTACAAACAGGTTTGACATGTAAGGAACTCAGAGGAAGTTAAACCTTCTGAACAATTGTGCAATAGTTTGAAGCTTCTCTATTTATCTGTTTCTTTTAAGTGAAACCCAACTGAGATAAACAAAAGCTGGAAAATAGATGTTGTCGTGTAAAGTATCAGGGAGTGACTCTGCAGTGGTTCCCATTTTTATTGGATTAATTAAAAATTAGCATCAATTCAAAAATCCTTTTAAAAATAGTTATTTCATAAATATTCAATAAATGTAAGTTCATAAACCGATTGTTGTATTCAGTACACCAGGATGCTTTGACCCCACATGGCACATCACCTGTCAATCACTGCTGTCTTGAAAGCTGGAAACAAAGGAGTCGTGGTTGAAGTAGCAGAAGTGCTGCTAAAAACACGTCCACGAGGAGCAACCCACCCAAAACGTGTTGTTTCAGTGTTAACAGTTTAAGAAATCTCAGTCTGATGGCACAGCGCCGTGTATTACCTATTCTTTATTCAACAAAAAATGTGTTCAAAAATAATGAAACTCCAGACGGACAAAGGACATCTTTGATTGAAAAGTATTCAATAAACAACAATGTGTTGTGCTGAAGAGAACTTCTCAGCTTACGATCCACAGGTCTCTGCAACCCACAGGCCAGAGTACTTCATAGTGTCTCCTGGTCCCTGAACACTTGGAGCCTCAGACATTCATACAGGTCAGTAACGTGTGAAAGGCCGTGTCCGCGCCCCTGGACATCACAAGTCTCCTGGAGCGTTCATGTTGATTTATTAGTTATTTGGTTTTTAAGGAATATGCTGGTGCAACAGACGGTACACCGGATGGTGCGTTCAATGTAACTCGGATTTCGAATGTCTCTCGGTCAATATAAGTGGTGGTATAAGTATTACGTGCATGCACTTTGGTTGATTACATTGAATACAGTTTCAAAGTTACAGATTACCGTATTATACCGTATTAGCTGTATACTTAACTAAATGTATTTTATTAATTGGTCTAATTTAAGAACCGGGTCTTTAGTTTGTTCATAATATTTCACACACTGCTTAGGGAGGAAAAATGGTGACAACCACTGCTCTAGGGTTTCATTTAGAGTAATTAAATAATACAAAAACATTAAATGAATGAGATATTGTCATTATTAATTTATTAATACATTTATATTTTTGTCCGGAAACGCTGTTTACGTTCTGGCCCCCTCTGCCTAAGAGATGCGTTGGTGCGCATGCGCAGAGATGATCTTTGCGCTTCGCCGTGTCCGTCGTCAGTCGGTGTTTGAAGCAGCTACCGGAGCTTCCTCCCGAACCGGGACCCTTGATACCCAAACCGGGTCCCGCCTACCGGTGAGAACGGAGCCGGTGTGATCCGCGTCTCCTGCCTTCCGGCTCCACACGTGACAGCGGGATGCCGACGGCTCGTGGACACGAAACCGACAACAGAGCGGTAAATCCTGCAGAGGTTTCTGTCGTTTTCACTGGTTTCCTTATCAATAGCCATCCGATCAATACCCTGAATGCATCACGGGAGAAAACAAACAGGTCGATGATCGAGAAGCTTCTTTTACATAGTATTGAGATCAATAACTAGCAATACTAACTAAATATGTGTCTTATTTTGAAAAGTAAGTTAAATCACATCCTGTGTTAAAGTAAAATAAAACTCGACGTTGGTTTGAATATTTCATTAAGAAACGTTTATTAACTTTATTCATTTATTCATTCGTTTACTCACTAATCGTCATGAAGTCATCAAATAATTGATGAAATATACATTAAATCTGCTATATAAATAATTCCAGAAGTGATTAGATTCATTTTCACTAGTCATTAACAAAAATATTTCAGTGTTTAAACCAATTTAAAATTGTACCAATTATCGAATCCAATCCTCGTAAAATCTTTGAATGCGTCGTTATGGATTAAGAAGAGACGAGGTCAAAGGTCAGCAGCTGAATGTGGATGAGCAGGATGTTTGAGTGACAGCCGGCAGCGAGCTCAACCACTTCCTGCTCAGGCACTGCTGATCAACACGGCTCTGTATTGATCAGTAGTTCTCTCTATTGATCAGTAGTTCTCTCTATTGATCAGTAGTGTTCTGTATTGATTTAAACGTTGGGGTGAGCGCTCCCTACAGTCACGTGAACGTCTTATTTTTGTCCCAGATTCAACATTATACCATTTCTATTGTTCGTGGTCCTTATTTGAGACGTTAACAGGATCAATATTTAATAAAACAACCAGCTGGAGTACATTGATCCTTTTAATGCAATAAAAGTAATTCACTTTGTACTAATACATTGATAATTTGCTAGAATATATGATCAGTAGAGGGAAGAAGAAGGGGCTGAATTTGAGGGGCACTAGGACCAAGGTTAACCTTTCTGAACATTGTAGCACACCTGGGCAGAGGTGAGCCCCCCCCCCCACGTGAAGCTGAGTCAACAGAAACTAAGGAGAGAACCCAGTAGATCTCATCATTACATTACATTACATTACATGTCATTTAGCGGACGCTTTTATCCAAAGCGACGTACAATAAGTGCATTCAACCATAGGCTACAAACTCAGGAGAACAAGAAACAAGAAAGTGCAATTTCCTCAAATAAGCCAATTTACAATTTGCTATAGATGAGTGACGTTACAAGTACAATTTAAGTGCTACAATTTGTTAGTCTTTAGTGGAGGTAGAGTCTGAAGAGGTGTGTCTTTAGTTTGCGGTGGAAGATGTGAAGGCTCTCTGTGGTCCTGATGTCTTCAGAGACCTCCTTCCACCATTTAGGAGCAGGACAGCAAAGAGTGGAGATCTAGTCGAGTGTTTGCTCTCAGTGAGGAGGAACAAGCAGTTTATCACATGCAGAGCGGAGAGTGCGGGTCGGGATGTCGGGTTGGACCAGGTCCTGGATGTAAGCTGGACCCCATCCATTCACAGCATGGTACGTGAGCACCATGTTTAGAACTGGATGAGCCACCGGTACCAGTGAAGAGAGCGGAGGAGTGGAGGAGTGAGGGAGAACTTAGGAAGGCTAAAGACCAGTGGAGCTGCTGCATTCTGGATGAGCTGCAGAGGTGGAATGGTGGTAGCAGGAGACCTGCAGGAGGGAGTCACAGTAGTCCAGGAGGGAGACGACAAGAGCCTGAATCAGTACCTTCTGAGTGAGAAGAGGACGTGTTCTCCTGATGTTGTAGAGCGAGTATCTACAGGATCGTGTTGTCATCAGACTGACTATGTGAGACAAAGACAGGAAAGACATGTTTCACTACTAGGACCTGGTCTCTGTGGACCCCTCTAAAGAATCAGACTCATTAATCAGACACAAGCAACTCCCTTCTGTTGTCGCGGTCTCCGATACCACAACGATGTCCTCCAGGTGGCGAGCAGCCAATGGCGTTGATGACAAATCAGAGCGAGGTCTTCTTGTCTTTGCCTCCTCCTCCTCTTCTCCTCTTTAAAGTGAATGACTCACTGGTAACAGGTTGTCATGGTAACCATGGACCAAACCGAAGGACAAGCGTGTGACAGTTAGCTTTAGCCGTCGTGCTAACTGTTCCTCGCAGGAAGTTCTTAAAGGAACATTTTACCCAAACCTCTTTTCAAGGCTCAAATTGCTTGTTGAAGTCCTCTTTGTTTGTCTCCCCTGCAGTGAAGCATCATGGGAGTTGGCAGATGCACGAGTCGGCAGCGGGTCAATCAGATCCTGTGACACACACACACACACCATGGAACAAGGCTTCTGCTTAAATACGCTAGTGAGTGTAACTTTGACTGTTTCTATTACAATAATAGCCTTTATAGCAATTCATCTTACAGCAATATATCGCACAATAAAAAGTAGTTATCGTGACAGCGTGAGGTTTGATGAGAAGTTCCTTATCTTAACTATAACTCGCGCCTGTAGGGGGCGCAGGCATTTGAAACTTACATACAATGTATAAATACTCTTATTTGAATGAAGAATTCTTCATTTGATTACAAATATACTGTACATATTTTCCAGATAGTCCTTTCATGCTTTTATTGTCCGTTCTCCTTATTGTTGTTTATTGTTGCTAAGCAATGCGGTCCAGTGTTTGTTAGACGGTGACCCAATGGACTTTTTGCAGAAGAAGCTGGCGGCCGAGCCTGACTACACCGACGTGTCGCTCGCGGCGGCGGAGCGGGTGCGTGCACTGGCGAAGATGGGAGGCCGCGTGGAGGTGCAGGAGGACATCGCCCCCAGGCGCTACTTCCGCTCCGGGGTGGAGATGGAGCGCATGGCGGCGGTCTACCTGGAGGAGGGTAGCCTGGAGAACGCCTATGTGCTCTACACAAAGTTCATCACGTGAAACCTTCATCCATTTATTCATTTTGCATTTATTTCTTCTTTTTCATTTATTTCTTAATTTATTTCATTTATACTGAATTATTGTTGTTTCATTTATTGACTTAAGGCATGTGTGCTCAGTCTGTTCGTAGAGAAGCTTCCTGCTCACAGAGACTACCAGCACTGCAGCCTGCCAGAGAAGCAGCTCATCATGAAGGTCATACTACTAATAGAATTGATTATTAATAGTCCCTGGACCTCTCCTAGTCTCTAGTCCACAGGCCTTTACATCTAGTCCATTGACCTTTACATCTACTCCACATACCTTTACATCTAGTCCACAGGCCTTTACATCTGGTACATTGACCTTTACATCTAGTCCACATACCTTTACATCTAGTCCACATACCTTTACATCTAGTCCATTGACCTTTACATCTACTCCACAGACCTTTACATCTAGTCCACAGGCCTTTACATCTGGTACATTGACCTTTACATCTAGTCCACAGACCTTTACATCTAGTCCATGGGCCTTTACATCTAGTACATTGACCTTTACATCTAGTCCACATACCTTTACATCTAGTCCATTGGCCTTTGCATCTAGTCCACAGGCCTTTACATCTAGTCCATTGACCTTTACATCTACTCCACATACCTTTACATCTAGTCCACAGGCCTTTACATCTGGTCCATTGACCTTTACATCTACTCCACAGACCTTTACATCTACTCCACATACCTTTACATCTAGGCCAATGACTTTACATTCGGGCACAAGCCTTTAATCTAGTCCAAGAACCTTTACATCTAGTCCATTGGCCTTTGCATCTAGTCCACAGGCCTTTACATCTAGTCCATTGACCTTTACATCTACTCCACATACCTTTACATCTAGTCCACAGGCCTTTACATCTGGTCCATTGACCTTTACATCTACTCCACAGACCTTTACATCTACTCCACATACCTTTACATCTAGTCCACAGACCTTTACATCTGGTACATTGACCTTTACATCTAGTACATGTACCTTTACATCTAGTCCACATACCTTTACATCTACTCCACATACCTTTACATCTAGTCCACAGACCTTTACATCTAGTCCACAGACCTTTACATCTAGTCCATTGACCTTTACATCTACTCCACATACCTTTACATCTAGTCCACTGACCTTTACATCTAGTCCACAGACCTTTACATCTAGTCCACAGACCTTTACATCTAGGCCACAGACCTTTACATCTAGTCCACATACCTTTACATCTAGTCCACTGACCTTTACATCTACTCCACCTACCTTTACATCTAGTCCATAGGCCTTTACATCTAGTCCATAGGCCTTTACATCTAGTCCATTGACCTTTACATCTACTCCACATACCTTTACATCTAGTCCATAGACATTTACATCTAGTCCATAGGCCTTTACATCTAGTCCATAGGCCTTTACATCTAGTCCATTGACCTTTACATCTACTCCACATACCTTTACATCTAGTCCATAGACATTTACATCTAGTCCACAGACCTTTACATCTAGGCCACAGACCTTTACATCTAGGCCACAGACCTTTACATCTAGTCCACATACCTTTACATCTAGTCCACTGACCTTTACATCTACTCCACCTACCTTTACATCTAGTCCATAGACCTTTACATCTAGTCCACAGACCTTTACATCTGGTCATTTACTTGCTGTCTAGTAGCAGGACCAATGCTATTAACACCATAATTATCTGTATTTATGTTCCTTCTTATTTCTCAATAGAAACTTCAAGAAGTGGCATTTCCTCGTAAAGACGATTTGAAGAAACGTCTTCAGGAGAAATACAGCAGGGAACACACGGAGTACCTTAGAGCCCAGGTAGGATGTCGTCCAATCAGATTGCATAGTACTTGAACCTAAATCTGATTGAATGTTTGTTTGAAGCGTTTATTTCTGTCTATTTCTGGCATGTGACTTCCTGTGTCCTCAGAGCCAGGCGTCGGTGGAGGTGGACATAAGCAGTCAGCAGATGCAGCGTCTGTCCTTATTGAGCGAGGACAGGAGGCGCTGCCTGCTATTGGAAGAGGAGCGGCAGCGTGTCGCCGCCCTGCGACGCATGCAGATCGAATCTGAGCAGTTCCGCTACTTCGAGGACCAGCTGAGGCGTCAGGATCTGGCCAATAGGAAAGCGGAGGAGGAGCAGCGTAAGGTAATGGATTACACAACCCTGTGGTACTAAGGCCACGTATCAATGGTACTCGTAGTATTTCTGACCTACTCGTCCTTCAGGTCGATATCAAAGGGCCTGAGGTGATGGATGGCTATTGTCTTTCCCGGCAGCCAATCAGAGACCGCGAACAATCTCAGGGGGCGGACCTCAACAGTATGAGACTGCCAGTGTCCATCAGCCACCCAGCTGCCACGTTGGCCGGCGTACACAGTGAGTAACCTGTGTGTGTGTGTGTGTGTGTGTGTGTGTGTGTGTGTGTGTGTGTCTCTTTGCTGTCCTGCTCCTAAATGGTGGAAGGAGGTCTCTGAAGACATCAGGACCACAGAGAGCCTTCACATCTTCAGACTAAAGACACACCTCTTCAGACTCTACCCGTCCACTAACACACTAACTAACTGCAGCACTTACATTGGAC